TAGAACATAGGGACATACTTTTAAAATATCAGTCTCCATATTAAATTTTATACAGCTCTTGTTTAATGTTTATTTTCTGCACATTGTACAATGCCATTTGAGAGAACTGTCTCTGGGGAAAAAACCAGAACACATTGAGAAAATATAAATCCTAATTTTTGTAGTATGCTGCAATTGCCTATTGCCCCCCCCATCCTCCCCTTTGACATGATGAATAAAAGAGCTGGTTTTTTTTTCCAGGCAATCAATCATTTCCAGTCAAGTTTTTTTTAATGTCAGTATAATATTGTTTATGTCCCCTTTTAATTGCTTTCTTGTTCATATGTAGAATAGCTTTTAAAACTTTTGAGTGTGAATTGCCTCATGGTTCCTGGATGGGTATAAATAATTACATTAACATTGATCTAGCTCCCTTCTTCGTTTAATTTTCTGCTTTAAAAGTTTGTTTAAAAGTTCAAAACAGCGTTTTGCCAACTTTTAGCAGTAGGTTTGGCTTTTGTGTACATTTAAATGACATTTGGTCCTTCATTCGCTGATCAAACCTGCACCCTATTATCTATACTTCTGGTGTAACATGTGATCCTGCTGTGTTTAGTGTGTTCCAGAGAAAATTCCACTAATGATCTGATTCTATGACATCTGGGCAGCCGTAGACTCTTAATGTGGGGTAAGGCTGATTTTCCACCTGCAGTGCAGGGACATGTTGCTTTAGCTTTCCCCTTGAATGTCCCTCTTGGCAATATCTGAAGTGGTACCGGTCCAGGACAAGAATTTATATCACACTTAGAAATAATGTACTCAAAAGCAAGTTAAGGGACGGGGGGGGGGGGGGGGAATAGTTCGAGCAACGGGCATCCTGATCAGAAACCAGGGTGATGTTGGCTCTATGGATGTTCGCAAGTCCTCCGGTTCCGTGTCAGCTTGAGCACAAACGATGCTCCGACACGCTAGTTCACGGCAGGGCGCGTTACACGAAAGATAATCTTCGGGTTTCGAAGAACATCAAGCAGAAATTAAGGCGGGGATCTGTTCCAGTCGCCGGGATGCATTCGGATTTAAGGCAGTTTCCACCCAGGGGACCGGACTGGATCTCAAAGGGGTCGATTGTGACCAAGGCGGGATTCTTTCCCTCAAACGTCAGCCTGGCCTATTCCTCCCGGAATTGCCCAGCGGCCTCTCCCTGCGCCTGGGTGAGAGCGGATCGGCGGTTCCCGAAGCCTCGTTCTGGTTTCACCGAGATCCATGTGGAGCCTTCATCGCTCCAAGCTCTCGGGAAGAGGTCTCCAAACTTGGCAACTTTAAGACTTGTGGACTTCAACTCCCAGAATTCTCCAGCCAGCTATGCTATGCTGGCTGGAGCTCTGCTGGCTGGAGAATTCTGGGAGTTGAAGTCCACAAGTCTTAAAGTTGCCAAGTTTCGAGACCCCTGCGTCTCGGGTCAGCCGCAAGTCTAAGCAACGGCCTGGGCGAACCGCGAGCCGGCTGCGTCTGGATTTGGTTTCCGGCGTGGTTTCAAGGAAGGCTCCTTTGTCGCGCGGAGATTTTGTTGCTGGGCGAGAAAACCAACGAGCCAGAGGCTGGCGGTCAAAAAAGTCAAGATGGCCAACACAACGAGGCCATTTGGAGTTCCGCCCTTTTTTTAAAAAGCGGGAAAGGATTGGATGCGCCGTCGTGGCCGCCATTTTGATTTTTGTTGACCACCACCGGGTGGACCTCTCGCCCGGACTGCAGCCTTTTTTGGTCCGATTTGATGTGAAAAGCAGAGGGAGCCATCCGGAGACCGGCTTCTCTTGCTGGGCTGGCCTTCCCGGGTGGAAGCCGCTGGGGCGAGGCGTTTATAGTACACAAAACGCCTGTTTTCGCTCGAGATAATCCTTATTTAAAGTCAATCCAGGCCGGGGATCGCTGTCGTTTTACTGTGTTTGTTTTGTATTTATGGAACAACCTCATTTTCGTTTCCATCCGCTACGTCTACGCTTGTCACTTCGTTTTGGGTTACACACAGATATTTCCCCCCCCCCTTCCACCCCTCTTCGTCTTGTCGCTCGTTCAATCATTTACAAAACGGGCGATGGCGAGAGGCGGCTGGCAAAAGAGACGGAAAGGATTGGGAAGGAGAAAAGAGCGGCGGGGGTGGGGGGGAGAGGGAGGGAAGGAGACACCCTGGCCCAGTCTCGACCTTTTGTATCTTTCTCTGCAGGTGTTTTAGCAACAGAAGGGCCGACGCCGAGCAATGGGGTGGGGGGGGGCGGAGGGAGGAGGGCGGGAGGAAAGGAGAACCCCATTCTTGGCACATTTTTAAGAGGATTAGTGCAACCTGAATCCGGGGAAGACACTGCCGGGGCGCCTTTTCTTGGATAGATGCCCCGGTCAAGTCGAGGATGCTGACCGTCGAAGCTCTTGATACATAACGGAGGATAAAGCTCGCTCCCTCCGGAAGAATGTAACGGGAATATTATGAACCAAAGGTGCTTTTTCAAGAGGCAATTGGACTTTCTGGTTTTTCTTTGAAGGCGTTTCGCTGCTGATCCAAGAAGTTTCTTCAGCTCTGACTGGATGGTGGGGAATGGAAGGATTTATAGATAGGATATATAGGATTTATATAAATCCTTCCATTACGCACCATGCAATCAGAGCTGAAGAAGCTCCTTGGATCAGAAGCGAAACGTCTTCAAAGAAAAAAAAAACAGGAAGTCTAATTGCTTCCTGAAAAAGCACCTTTGGGACAACTATGACCTGGATGACTTGAGAATCTCCATCGACATTTAACCATGCACTTTGGGAGAATTATCAGTTACAAGGAGGTGGTGGTGGGGTTTCCTTCGTGTCCAGGATGAGGCACGCCCCATCCGGCGAAAGGGATGCAAGAAGACAAGGGCAAAAAAAAATGCTGGAGACTGCGGTCTTTTTCTGAAGGAGAGGAGTATTGTGACGTCATCGACTTGCCTGCCCTGACGTCAGCGAAGGGCTCCCGGGCGCTCTGAGTCTACGGTTGGTGGAGACACCTGCGTCGATCCACAACGGTCTAGTTCCGTCTTTCTATGTAGGGATTCCTCCAAGATTTTCCACAGTAGTTACTTGTAGCATCCTGTAAACTTTCCCTTGCCAGTTTCTCTAGGTAAATCTGAGTCGGTTCCTTTCAGCCTTCTCCGATCCTAGGCCCTCCAGATGTTTTGACCAACAGTGCCCATTAGTCCCAGTCACTGACAATTGCAGGACAACATCTGGACGGTCTCAAATTGAGGAAAAATGGATAAAGGAGGCAAGGAACTTTAGCACCGTCAACTTTTTAATTAAACCAGCCAACGACCAGAAAAGAACGTTTGGGTAGTCCTTGTCCAGTTTTAAAAAAAATGGGTTTTCACTAGCCCGAATCTTGCATAGTCGCCTAGGGCAGATTGTAGCAATATATATACACACACACACACACGTGGTTTATACCGGGAAAAACGAACCTGGCCTCCTGTTGACACTGTTAACAGAAAAAGGTATATTAAAAAATCTCAAAGTACAAGCCTATCCAGAGGGTCAATTGCGCAGTTAACATACCGATCGGAAAATGTTTGTTCCATAAACTAGAAAGATTATATCGAGTAGCTGAGATTAGGCGAAGTTTCCCTGGCGTTTGTTTGCATGTATATATGACCCTAGAAAAATAGACATAAATGCATAAAGGAATATAAACAAATCATGTGTTGTGGGAATAAAACTCTCTGGGGAAAAGACTATAATTTTGCTGATAGAAAACATCATTTTATTTTGTCATAAGACTATATTATGTATAATTTGTTCATACAGCTCTTGGCAAGGTTGATTTCATCTAAATGATTCGATTAACGCAATTCCTATAACTCACAAAGCAGCCAGAATGAGGCGGTTTTCTTCCAAAATCTCCTATCTTCCACGAAGACGAACTGATAGACGGAAATTTAACACAGATGGAATCGGTCTCTTGTTTGCTAAACGAAATGTTAATTAAATAATCCTTAAAGTAGCAAGAAAAGTGAAAAGGGACACAGCAAGCAATTTTCTTTCATAAATCCTTACTGTTCTCACGTTCTCAGTACATTCTGGGTGACATTCAGACTGAGTGGATTTACCCGGGATTAAGATCCGTTTAACTGCTTTAACACAATAGTTTTTGCGTACCACTTGTATAATAAGTTTTAGCGGAAATACAATTTCTGTTATTTGCACTTAAACGGTGAAGGATATTTCAGTTGCGGCTAATAATTTAAGGACGATGGAAAGTAAGGATAGTTTAATAAGAATTAGGTTTAGTGAGATTTAAGTATATCCAAGAGCATCTTTTTTTTACAAAAGGAAAATAAATGGATTTGCTGCAGTAAGATACTGAATATAATCTTATTATTTCTGAATTTTATAATCGCAGAATAATCACAAATGTTAAAGAATCCTCTTTAGATCCCTCGGTGATATCAGAACCGATTTTCGGGGAATATAGAACCGCTAGGGGGGATTTATGTTAGGAAAGATGTATTTTGCTCTTTTTTTTTTTTTACTCTGCAATTATATTTATCCCCGCAGTTCTGCTTTCCGTAGCTGTTGGCAACTTTCTTTTTCAGTCTTGGGTTACCAACAGAGCCTTTTAGACATAACTCATTTTGCTGCGGAGACTGGTAAATAAAAGGTGATCTCGCCAAGAGGAGTTGAAAGGGGAAAAAAAAAAAAAAAAAAAAAACAGCTGCCGAGCCGCTGGTAAGAACCTCCGAAGGGGCGGAGCGTGGAAGAGGTGGGGACAACTGGAATCCTCCCGCAGCCAATCGGCGGGCCTTGGGGCCGGACCACTCACCAATTGGTGGGTCGATCGGGCGGGTGTTCGCGTCCTGGGACCGACCATATAGGGAGGGACGTCCAGAGTCTTAGAAACGGGCAGGCGTTTTGTGGCTGCCGCCACTGGCGAGCTTTGCTTTCTTCTGCTACGCGCTCTGAGCTCCTGCATCTGCCGGGTTGGGGGGCTGCTTCGAGAGGAATCGCCCCGATCCACGGCTCAGAGGTGGCTGGAGACGGGGCGAGGTTTTGGGCGGGCTGAAGCCACTTCGCCTCTAGCGGTCTCTCGGCCCGCTCCCGCCTTCGCCAGGTCCGGGGAACGGCCGGGACCGAATGCCATTATTGCGCGCCTCTGCAGCCCCCTCGGACGCTTGGTTGTGGTGAGTAACTCTGGAGAGATCGGGGCCTGGGGAGCCCGGGGGAAGGTTACGCGAAGCAGGAACCGGGGAGGAGGGTCCCCTTTCCCCCGAGAACCCCTCTCATTTGACCTGTCTTGGATGGGCCCCTTGTGGGGAGCCCTTAGCGGTCTCCTCTACTTTTGCCCTCTTTCCTGGGTCGCGCCTCTGCAGATATTGCGGGAGCAGCGGAAGAAACCCAGAGTCCGCTAAAAGAGAATGCCGGTGAATTCTAATCGCTTGTATTTAGGGCCAGCATTAAAACACCGGGGAGGGCGGGGGACAGGACGGGACGGGACTATTATCAGCATTTGATTGCCCAGAATCGAAGTTTAACTTTATTTTTTAGCATTAAGGCCGCACTTAATGCAGGGCACTTATTCTCAATGAAATGCAGCGGTTTTGCAAACGTGGAAGATCCTTAGAAGGCAGATAAGGCCGTGCAATGACATTCAGCCAGCTTGACCAGTTGGATTACAACTCTTGTCAAGCCTGGTCCCAACAGCAAGGCACAAAAGGTGTTTTCTAGCGACATGTGTCTATTTTCCATGCAAACAAATTGAATGTCCACTTCCATAGAACATCCTAAGACCCCCTGTGCTGCATTCAGTGACCCAAGCAATCTTTTGAAGAGAGAAGCAGGGTGTGTGTCAATTGATTTTTAGACTTGAAAATGACACCAAAAAGCTTTCAGTGGTTGAAAGCAAACAGTGAAGCAAACATGCTCCTGATATAATACTCTGGCTAAAGTACTTTTGCTCTGAGGAATGTATTGGGTTTAGTTTACATTCACATGTAGTCTAAGAAATAAAGATGAATTATGTCTTTGGCTAAATCCATTCTCCTTTATAATTCATCGTTCTATATTGATATACACTAGAGTACAAATAAGGTTAGATGCCAAAGTAATTCACCAGCCAACAAATCAAGGATGTGTTGGTTAGACTCAGATTCCCCAAAGCCATAATGTAGCTTGTATGCATTTGATTTAGTGTGTGGTGAGAACCAGCCAACAAACCATTGTGATATTTACACACACTTCTAGTTAAATTTATCAGGTTTTATTTATTTCATTTGTACTTGTATGAAGGGAAACTATGGGGTTATATTTCCAGAAAATTATATTTCTGGATAAGCAAGACATGTCTAGGATTGGAGGTTTAAACAGACAGCTTAGTATTTGCTATTTTTCTGAAGTGCATTTTAAAGGAAGGGGATACCTTTCTCTAGGTGCAGGGCCTGTGAAAATTACATCCAAAGACGATTTTTTAAAATATGAGAGATGCAATGAAAACAAAGAGAATATGTAAAAGATCCTAGCATGTCAGAATTGTCTCTTTAAGTGAATAATTTAAAAAGAATTAAATTTCCCAAAGCCATGCAAATTCTGAATTTCTAGATGCAGATTACAGAATATTCTGCAATCATGGCTTGATGGACAGTCCCCAATCCCTGCTGCTTGCATGTTGGGTTTTTGACATTTCTTAATCTATGGCAATTTATAGTATCTTCCTATAAATGTGCTGAAAAACCTGCAATGAAGACCAACTTTCTATTGTTTTCATATTGATATAGATATATCTCAGTTGTTAAAAGTGTTCTTGGATAGACTTAGGAAATGCCTTGGTATAGTGCTGGCCTGAATTTACACATCTTACTAAATCATTTATTTGGTTTTACTTTCTGTTGAATGTTTGTATGAAAATGACTGTTGTGTTTAATTCACTGACAAAGCCACTTTATAAGGCTCCACGCATATTCCTGCATAACATTAAAGTACAGTAGGTGCATTCACATGTCAAACTAAATGGAAAACAAATACACAACTTAAAGATGTGTGAATGAAGACCAATGCTGACCTTTTTCACAAGGGGGAGACAGCAAGGCTCTAGTCTAAACTCTCTTGAGTTCATAGACATGAATCTGGCCACAATCTTTCTGGTTAATAGAGACAGCTCTGGTTTTATCTTAAAATTGTGCATCATCTTCTTTCCCTCTATTTGACAGCAGAGTAGAACACACCTTGTTGACTCACATTCTATGAAGCTTCTTTATTACCACAGAGATAGAGAAAAAGAGTGCAATGGTGGGCGGGTGTTGCATACCACATGGAAGCTATAACGAGGTTTTTTAACATGCTTTGTGACTAAACCCTATTTATCAAACAGTGCCCTATGAACTAGATCATTGTAAAAATAAAAGGGAGCACCTCTTTAAAAAAAGTCAGGTAAACCCAATTGTGATTGTTTTTCCTTCCCCTGAGTTTCATCTGGCCTTGCTCCTTGAAGGCGCACCAAACTTTCCTGGGCAATAAGGGTAGAGGTGAGCAGGGCAGAAGGCATCACATATGCAGGGAAGCCTTTCTTAAGAGAATTGCCATCTTTTCCAAACCCCGCTACTTTCTGAATGTATCTGACTACAATTCCCATCGCTGTGCTAATTTGGGATGGTAGGTGTTGCAAATCCAAGGCATCCCCCTCTTCCCCTGTTTTTTTTTTAATCGGGGAGACGCGTCACATTTTCATTTGTGAAGTCTCTGAGGCATTAGGGCCTTAGACTGGGGGGGGGGGGGCGGCTGCGCGAAGGAATCGAAATCACATAGAACATAATAACTTTATTGTCACTTGGAATGTACATAAAAATGAAATTTTGTTGCATACAGCTCTCAAAGGGTCACCATCTCCAATATACACTACATAAACATGACAAAATAAATACAAAATTATACATACACTGTACCCACATGTATACACCCATCTTCGCGGTGTGGGTACAATTTGCCCACGCATGATAGGAAAGCCAAGGAAGACCCCTCCCGTCTCTTCTCTCCCCCACCCCACATCCACCCTCGGCCTTTCCCCCCCAGGAAACCCTCCGGGTTAAGTCCCCGAGAACTGGAGTGGATTATACACCCCCCCCTTCTGTGGATACTTAATTCAGCAGCGGCCCTTGCCGATTTCCACCCCACCCCCAGCCCCGACGGGTCTCGGTAAAGCAACCTCGTCCATCTGGCGGGGGAAAAGCTGCCGCTGGAAAAGAGCCGGAGGGGCAGCCGGGCCAGGTCGCGACTCTGGTCCAAGGGCGCCGCGCCTCTTTTCTCCCCTCTCTCTCTTTCTCTCTCGTGCAGGAAGCGAGCTGGAGGAGAAGGCGGGAGCCGCGGGGCGCGAGCCATGGCTGAGGGGCAGCAGGTGGGCTCCGCCGCCGACGCCTGGGAGATCGACGTGGAGAGCCTGGAAGAGCCCGAGCGGCCGCCGCCTGCGCCACGCGCGCCTTCGCTACAGGCCGCCGGAGACGATGACGAGGAAGACGACAACCAGGGCGACGACGACGACGAGGAGGGCGAAGAAGACGAAGACGAAGCCGGGGCAGCGGGCGACCTTCTCCGGCTTCCTGGGTTGCCTCAGCCGCAGCTTGTCTCGCCGTCGCCGGCGGCGGAGGAAGGAGGCGTAGGCGGCGGGGAGCAGCCAGTCCGCAAGCTTAGCCGCACGCCCAAATGCGCGCGATGCCGCAACCACGGCGTGGTGTCCTGCCTGAAAGGCCACAAGCGCTTCTGCCGCTGGCGGGACTGCCAGTGTGCCAACTGCCTGCTGGTGGTGGAGCGGCAGCGCGTCATGGCCGCCCAGGTGGCGCTTCGCAGGCAGCAGGCCACCGAGGTAAGGGCCGGTCTCGCCCGTCCTCCCGTCCCTGGGCGGCAGGCTCTTGTTGGCCCCCCCGGGTGGATGATTCCGTCCTCCGCCCTCCGGTCGAGACTCCTCCGTTATCCCCATCCTCTCCTGCCTTGTTTTCCCTCCGCGGAAAGAGAACCCGGCCCGGGAGGCGGAGCGTTTCCTTAAGGGGCCCGCGCATGCTACGCTCGCCCCTGAAAGCGACTTGTGCTCGGAGGTTTTCCTCGTTGCCCGTCCGCGGGTCCTCAGGTGTCCGCAGGCGTTGGCCGGCCTTGAGGCAGGAGGAGCTGATCTTCCGAGGAAAAGGCGTTGGTGGGCCCGGGGGCGGCCGCGGAGTCGATCCGGCTTCCTTTTTTGTTGGAGGGGCAGGAGCGGAGCCCCCCCGACGACTCTCTGAGGCGCCGCTCCAGGAGGGTGCGGGGAGCTGCGTTGGGACGGGGCCAGAGCGATTTTAGTAATTTTAGTAATAATTTCGCTTCCAAAAGGAAACATAATAGAATAATAAAAAATTAATTATAATAAAACAAATTTATTTTGATGGGCAGTTATCCTCTGAAAGGCCCTGACTGACTGCTTGGATTTAAAACTGGCTTCGAGGTGCCACTGCTGTTAGTTGGCCTAATCTAACGGTTTTGGGAGACTTGATTTAGCTTCGATCCAAGTATTTTAATTTGGATTTTTGTGGAAGAGCAGGTTCCAAATTCCATTGGAATTTCTTCTCAGCTTTAGTTGCAACCTCTCTTCCGATTTACTTCTTTTTTCCCGGCTTCCTGAAAGCACTGAATGTAAGGTCTTCAATTTGCTAGGGGAATAAATTGAATCCAGACTGTAACAAATATACCCAAATTGACATTTCTCCAGACAGTCCTTTTCTTTCTATTATTTCCTCAGAATTAAGACTCCTAAGATATCAGAAGCTAAAGTTTAAAAAGAAAACACATATAGGTTCAACTGGATATAAAATCGATTTTAAATTGGATCAAGAGTTTTTGTTAAAGGATCATGTCTGTCATGGAGTATTTAAGGGACTGTATCACGTGCTTAAGATTTTTCTTTCAAACAAGTAGTTAGAAAATGCATTTTACTTTTTCAACCGCATAGTATGCATTTTGGCATTTTTAATTTTTTCAACCCATAGTATGGTATGGTATGCATTTTGACAATTTCTTCTGTGATCATTCCTAAGCAAAATATAAATGCATTTTGCATATTCTAGCCAAAGTTAAAGGTATTTAATATATTTGATTTAATTGAAAGAATTAAGCATATGTCTCCTTTGGTATTGGCTGCTGTCTGTATTTGGGAGCTTGGAATAAAACTATACAGTATAACTTGTTTAAACCTTTGAGCCAATTGTTTAGAAGTTAAATTCCAAATGTATTTAGAGTCAAAGGAAGATTCCTGAAGTAGAAGGAATTCCATTAAAATGCGAATATGTTTAACTTGATTAATTAACCCGTTTTCTGAGTTTGCACAATACATTGAACTATAGTCAAATGGCCAAATATAAGGCACTAACTTACAAAGAGATAAATGCAGCTGCTAAATTGATTTAAAAATATGGTGAAACCCCAGTCTCTTTATTCAGGGAGTATGAAGAGTACTGTTTTTTCTTTCTTTTCAAAACTGCAATCTCAGAAATTGATGCTGCTGGAAATAGAATATACATAATTTATGAAGTTTCTCTGACTTCTTTTTCTCCTCCATGTTTCTCTACTAGGATAAGAAGGGACATACAGGGAAACAGGCTAATTTTGAGCGCAGAACAGTGTACCAGAGACATGTTCGGACGCCTAGTTTGCTGGCTAAAAGCATTTTAGAAGGTAATAATTTTCAACACTTTGAAGTTGCCTGTCTTTATATATCTTAGGAATTATTTTTGTTTGGTGTGTTAATATATATACATCTTACCTCTGTCAGTTTGGTAATAAAAAGACTAAGAAAATTAGAGAAACAACTGTAAACACTCATGGACTGTGTTCCACTACAAATCTCAATAGCCTTTGAACAAAATCTTCTTAATTAGATTGTGATTTGTGTACTTTAATTCTGTCATAAAAAAATAGGAAAATGCTTTCTTAGAAATGAATTGATGACAGTGTTATAGCCAGTAACTGAATTATAATTTCTGGCAACTATGATAAGGGCTAGATTAGATTATGCAAAAAAATACAGAGTCTACATATTATTGGAGGATTTCAAAAAATAGCTAATATCATATGGAAATACTTTTCCATCCCTTAAAGGGAATAGTCAGGTTAAATTAGGAAAAGAAAGTATAGAGTAGTTGCAGTGGATAACTTCTTTTTAATTCCAAACAGATCTCAATCAGTTAATTTCCTGCAAATTGAACTTACTTTTCATATTGCCCCAACTTGTATTCATATAATTGTTGATTAAAAACATAAAGTGACATTTTGAGGAGTTAAATTAGTATTTCTCTGTCAAAACCATAGATATGTTTGTAACTTAGGAAAACTATATATTAAAATCGTTAATTTTAATTGAATAGTATTACCTTTTTGAAAGCATTAATAGTGGAGTTCTTTTGCTTCCCAAGTACGATAATCCTATTATTTTTTTATCTTTAGCATTTGATACAGATTTAATAAGCCTAAAGTTTCTGAACCAATTTCTGTAGTGTTGAGAAAATTAGTAATTTAGTAATTAGTAATAGAAACAATCCATTAGTAATAGAAACAATCCATTTCTATTCAAATTTCTGACATCTTGCACTGCAGCTATATACCATATATAAATGTTTTATTTGGGTGAAAATCCCATTAAATTATTTATGGTTTTGTGCAATTATGCTTAATGGCCCTGTAAAAATGTGTGTATAACATGAAACTCTCCCCTGCAAATGCTATTTTTATATGCAGTTTGAATCCTATGTTCTTTTGAATGGTGGCTGTGGTTGATACATTTATTTGGAGTATGTGTAATGAGGACCATAAATCAGAGCTGCAAAGTGCATACTTTTGGGGAGTAAAATCCATTGACTTTATTTAAGCTTTATTTCCAGCTCTATTTCCAGCTAAATGAAATAGGACTGTCATCTAACTATACAAAATGATTTCTTTATATTTCTTCTTTTTCTTTTGGTTCAGTTTTTACATTCTTGCAAAGATACTTTCCTTGTAGGAGTAGAAACATTCTTATGCTTCGTGCTATCTTTTCTGATTTGTCTTAACTTTCTTTCTCTTTTCTCCTAGTACTCCTTGGATTTTATCTTTACCTCTGTGTACATAGTGCTTCACCTTTAGAGAATAGAAATGCACCAGTTGTAGGTATAGAGATATTTCAAAATCATATTATAAGTGTCATAATAAAGAAACATTAATGTAGTAACATGGGGGTATGAAAACTGATTTACAGGCTAATTATTACTGTGATGGCTCAGTGTGACTTTGGATATGGCGAAAGTAATTAGTTGGAGGCAAAAAGCACTATGTTCCTTGCACTTCTTTTACATCTTATCAAAAGGACAACTTGTACATCTATAAATAGATGTCTAAACATCTGATGCAAAGGTTGATAATAAATCTTGGCTGGTAATTAGCAAGTTTTGCTTTAAGTGTCAACCGGGAGGCAGGATAAAGGGGGAAACTCATTCAGGTCCTTGTTCCTCAGATTTAAATAAACTCTGAAGTTACCTATTGAGGGTAAGAAAGCACTGTGTATGCACCAAAGTGCCATACTCAAAAACATTATCTTCAAGGTCATCAGTGATCATGCAGGGAGAGACCATGTTCTTTTACAGTACATTAACTCTCTTATCATTTTGCGCTTTTTACACTTTTTTTAGTTACTAAAACAATTATTTTCTCCCTCCAAGGTTATCGTCCCATTCCAGCAGAACCTTACCTTGGAGGGAATTCGTCCTTGCCACCTCCTGTTAGCGACAGAATGAGAAAAAGACGGGCTTTTGCTGACAAAGAACTTGAGAACATAATGCTTGAACGGGAATATAAGGAACGAGAAATGATGGAAGCCACCCAGGCTGCTGCCTTTTTCCTGCCAAACCGCATGGTACATGGGCCCGAGTACAATTCTTATAAAAGTTTTAACCCTCATCAACTTGAAGCTTCCAGTAAGGAGTTTTGTGGTTTTCTGCCTACCTGTTTAGATCTGACTATGCAGTATTCAGGCTCAGGGAACATGGAACTGATCTCATCAAATTTGAGTGTTGCCACCACCTACAGGCAATATCCTTTACCCTCCAGGTTTTTGGTGTGGCCCAAATGTGGCCCTCTCAATGATGCCCTTCTCTATCAGCAATGCCTTCTAAACGCTACCACAGTCCAGTCTCTCAAACCTGGAGTAGTTTGGGACAATAAAGCTTCACATGGCCAGGATTTTCCCACCTCTGAACAAGACGTCACATTGTCAAAAAATGAGAACACGTTGCACCATCCTCATGTTCAGGAACTTGAGACACCTCAAAATGAACTGCAAAACATCTCTCGAGAGGCCCATGAGAGGTCAGCATTTTCATCTCCTAAGAGGACCTTTTCACAGATCTCTGGCAAGGATCCTACAGTTCATCAGGACCCGCCTCTCAACAAGATCAACAAAGAAAGCAACAAGCAGCATCTGGTACTGCCACCCTCATCCAAATATAGCCCATTCCACTCATTATTCCAGCAGACGCTTCATAGCAAATCGGGATCAGAGTTAAAAACCACTTTTGATGAAGCATCCAAGAAATATAGAGAGAGTACCTTCAGAGAAAAGTACAAATTCAGCATTGACAGATATGCAAAAGACCTTCTGGAGACTAAACAAGTTGTAACAAAATTATCAACAAATGAGCCATTACCATTTTCTGTTGAATCAATTCTTAAGCGACCATCTTCCATGGTCACCAATGTTTCTCAGTAGGCTGACAATGTGATCTTCCAAACAAATCTATTGGCACTTAGAATTGAACTTAACCATCTGTGCCAAGAAGTAAGTCCTTTTGAATTCATTAGAGAATTCTTCTGCTAGGCACTTCATCCACCATACACTTGAAAGACGTTCTTCAAATTTTGTTAAAAATTTATTTCCAATAAACAGGTTTTGAACTACAACACAGCACTAATATTGGTTGTTTTCAGACTGGCTGAGTTGACCTTTTTGGGAAATTGACTATTCTAAAACATTAACAATTATTGATATGCTGTCTGACAAACGCATGGCCACTGCCTTTTGCCACCATAATTTTGGAAAAAAGAATTTCAGATGTAAAGGATGTTATTAAAATGTACATAGTATGCATGTTTTTATATGAAAATAAAATATTTAAATGTTTTGCAAATTAAAATAGTGCATTCTGTGAGGATTTTAAAAGTTCTGAATGCATACACACGTATGCAAAATCTGGCCCAGTTGTTGAATCTCTTCATTTAATCTCTGTTGCAATGACATGAATGCAGAATAATACTTTTGATTTATAATCAGCAAATTGAGTCCAGGAAAGAAATGGACCCAGGATCATTCAGATTTAGATGTAAGGCCCCAAATGATTCAAGACTTGGCCATATGATTTAATTGTTCCAGGTTGTATGCATATTTCTTCTTGCAATATGGTTACCCATGACTTTCTAATATTTACATGCAAAATGTAAAGCATTTGGTATTTTCCTGGAATACTCACCAATGCCCATGACGAGGAGAGATGTTTGAATTTGTCCTGTAGTATTCCAATGTACAGAACATCTCACCCAAGCTTTTACCACATGTAAAAGGAGACCTACCACAAAATTGTACACCTCTTCCTGCTGGTTCCCTCTATCTCAAAATGTCTCTTAAGAATATAGGGAACTGCTTAATTTGATAGATACAAAATAACATTTTCTTCATCACTAGTGTGATTCTGGCCAACATAAGCCACACTAGATTAGTTACCTAGAACATGCATCCTGATCAGAGTTGGTCCTTTTGGCCTGGGCTGCCAACGTTCACTAGGTCAAGGGCTGCATTAAGTCTCAGTTACACTTGGAAGTGGTACGTTCAAAAAATACGGAGTGGGTCCAAGATACCTTGTGGAGTGCCACAGGGCATGGAGGTTCTGTCTTAATGCCTCGAGCTTGTGGGAGTTTGGATGGGATGCATCCGGCTTTGGTTCAATCCAAGCAAGCCTGAATGGCTTTGAATTGTGGATCTCCTGGTCCTTGGGACTTTCCTTCCATGTTTTGTTCTGGATGAGGAAATATTGCCCCAAACAGATCTGAGGTGAAATCTGGAGGTCATCCCAGACTCATGGCTCCTGCTGGAGAAAGATGGCAGCCATGTTTACACAACCACTTTTTGGTTGTGTATTAGCTATGCCTGTGGCTGGATTGGGGACTTGTGACTCCAGACTGGAGTATTGCAGTGTGTTCTTCATGGGTCTGCCCTTTAAGAGCATTTGGAAGCTTCAGCTGGTGCAGAGTACAGCTGTGCAAGCAGTTAATGGCATTAGTTACTTGGCATATGACACTGCTACTTCCCCAGCTGCCCTGGCTTCTTATGTGCTTCTGGATGCAATTCAAGGTGCTGATATTTATCTTTAAGGCCCTCTATGGTGTGAGTTGATAAATTACAGAATTGTCTCTCCCCTGTTGTATCTGCCTGGCCCAGAAGGACAGGCAAAATTGGGTCCCATTGGCTAAGGTAGGGATGTCCAACACTGGCAACTTTTGTGGACTTCAAGAGTAGCTGGCTAGGGAATTCTGGGAGTTGAAATCCACAAGTCTTGAACATGCCACGGTTGGACACCATGGGCTAAAGACTGTCAGCTGGTGGGTCCCAGAAAGAGACCCTTTTCTGCCATGTCTTCCAGCCTTTGAAACATTCCTTCCAAGACCAGACTAACCCTGATTGCTGGCATGTTGCAGGGTCTTCAAAACTTGGGTTTTTGCCTGGCTTGGGGCCCGGCATATGTGAAGGAGCCCATCTCTTGGCTTTGCTGATAGTTGAATGTGGCAAAGAACTTCAGGAAAGGGGGAACAGTCATGGAGACTATGGTCCATGGTTCTGGACTGCCATTGTGACCTAACTTCTAATGTTCATAGCCACACGAATTAGCTTAGAATGATTAGCTTTAATGATAAAAGTTGCTTGGCAAGTGCCAGTAATATTTGATTCAGTGTATGCAATGCACAAAAATCCCATTGGAAGGCATTCTGTATATAGTCAGAAGCACTCTTTCTTTTTGGTCTTGCTAATCCCCTGCCAAGATAGGACATGGAAAACAGAAGCAGAAGCAACAGGCTCTGCAACAGATGCCATATCATTCATTTGAAATAGTTTGGGTTGTTTTCTGGGTAGCGTTCAATGCAGCACTTTAAACTGGAAGTTAGCAGAGCGTGGATGACAAATTCCTCCTATCCCAAAGAGGCACGCCTAGCTTCCTGTCTGAATTTCATTTCTTCACCAGGAACTTACAGCATCTTTTAAAGTTCTCCAATTATTATTGTGCCAAAAGACAGCAATGTGGACATGCTTTATAGAAATTCAATGGTTGCATTGTAATGGCACGAAGGCACTGGAAATTATTATAAATCATTGGCAATTGACTACAATTGCTATTCAGGAGCAGATCCAAGGTATAAATTAAATTTTCAGACAGAAACTGCAGCTCCACCCCAAGCCATTATTGCTATCAGTTTATTTGTATTTTTTTCCTGTTTCCTGCCCCATTTCCACTGAGTTTGATACTGCTTCCTTTTTATTGTATTTCTCAAGATCCTCAGCTGCCTAACTTCACTGTCAATGGGAATAAAATAATGGTGGAACAAACATTTGATTATTAGATTTGGAACTTGCCTACCATCTAGAAACCCAAATCGACCTAGAGTTGTATTCTCTCCCATTTTTTTGTGAAGCACCAAAGCAGATAAGAGATTTAATAGATTAAATATATATTTTACCCTTGCATGAACAACATTAAATCAGTGCAGTAAAGAAAGGCATGGCTTCAGTTGCATGGCTTTAGTTGCCATCTTAACTTTTTTTGACCCCCTGTGGACATGCCTCAAGTTCATGCTAAAGATACAGTGCCTGGTCTTCCATCCAGTGAACCAGCTTTTGTAGCTGAATGTAAATTTGAACCATGGCCTCCTTGCTGCACATATAATGCTCTATCTTTTATGAATCTGCTTCCAAGAACGAGACACATTTTACTATCTCAAAATTGCTTCCATTCATTGGGAAAAGTGTGCAAACCAATCTAGTGTCTGCTCTTCTTTGGCAAAACGAAATGTGAGCAAACTTCAGTCTTCTCTAGGATGGGAAGGTAAAGAGGTTTTGTGCCATACTGCAAACTACAAGAGGCTCTGAAAAAAAAACCCAGTATTTTCTAACTTTGCATTTTTTGTACTGAAAATGCAAAGAAAGCTACATGCAACCTGGGTCAGAAGGACACACTGGCACCTGGCTGTGGAGGCTGAACCCATCTGCTTTCAGAAGCTCGAAAGTAGTAAATAGCTCTATAATATAAATTTTGTCTATATAGCAGAGAAATTACCTTGCGAGTACCTATCTCCGGATACACATCGTGGTTAAGCTCAGCATCTCAGCGTGGCAGTAGATTCACAACTATGATTTCACTAGATAATAATCTTTCTTGAGAATCAGAATAAAATCATTCCCAACGCTTGCTTTCTCACTGCCATCAGGAAGGAGTCAGGAACATTTACATCTTTGCAAATATTTAATTTCAGATGTTTTCTGCCCTGCCAAATTCATGGACAGTTGGTAAGGCATTTAGCAATATTGAAGCTGGGTTGTGGTAGGTTTATATAATGACCACCTTTAATTTGGGAACTCCTGCCACCGCAGCCTTAACCATTCTATTGGCTACAGCAAAATACGAGAACGCTTACCAGATTTGCTCTGTTGGGGCTACTTTATCATCTCCCAGGAAAGGGTTAACATTCTTTCATATGGCTTAAAATTCCTCATTCTTGATTCCCTTTTTTATTCTCAAGGGCTTTGTTCAAATCCTTTCCCAGTCATCAAAAGATGAATAACTTGAGTCAGGGACAATGCAGGAGAGCAGCTGACAAATTTCTCTGGTCAGCTTTACCTGACCATCCATCAGCGGCATCTATGCAGGTAAGATAGTCAAAATTCTGATGCTTGGCACCTGACTCATCTTTATGACGGTTGCAGTGTCCCGGGGTTATATGATCACCTTTTTTTTTTTAATAAATATTTTTATTGTACATTTTTCCTTAAAATATATAACAGTTCCATATCAAATCCCCCCCTTTTTTCATCATATCATACATCCTAGTTACAACTATCATACGGTATAATCTCTTTTGGCTACGTTGTGTTATACATCCGGATTATAACTATTATTTGCTTAATTCTATCATAATACACTATTACAGTTCTTATTTTATACATTTCATACTATGTTCATATACAATTCAATAATAATATTTCTTACATTATTTATTCTTACGTATTTATCTATCTCTGTATTTATTTTTATTTTGTTGAACTTCTTTCATTATTCAACACTAATCTCTGCATTTGTTACAGGAGTGGGATTCAAACTTTTTAACAACCAGTTCTGTGGGTGTGGCCAGGTGGGAAAGGCCATGTGACTGGGTGGGTGTGGCCTGTTCTTTTTTGGTGGGCAGGGGAGAATGCAGTCAGCAATGTTGCACATGCATGATAAGGACTGACTGGGCAGGGAGGGGAAAGGAGGGCGGAGAAGGGTGGGGCCAGCCAGAGGCACAATTTGCTGGTTCTCTGAACTGCGCAGAATCATAACAACTGGTTCTATAGAACTGGTCTGAACTGGTAGAATCCCACCCCGATCTATTATTTATCCAATTATATATGTTCTGCTTATTACCGTCTGGATGGGTATGAAGCAGACAGAGCAACTCCACAAGGCATCCATGCAAAGTCTTTTTTTATTGGTTCATCAGGCATCCTTATCAACTCACAGTTATGACGAGGTTCTTCTTAATGTCCAATCCTTTGCATATCTGCATTATGGGGTAGAAAGATAATAAACTCTCATCCCCATGATGATTGAAGCAGCTGCATGGTAATGGATTCAGGCAAGAGTGAGGGAGCCTCCCCCAACCCAACAAGGGTCAATTTAATGACTAATCAGGATTAAAGATGTGGCCACATGACATGAACTACATTTCCCAGGATACCTTAACTACATTTACCATGATGCATTCCC